GACTTAGCCGCCGTAGGTTACACGAGAATTGGGAAGAATTAGCGACAGACTCGCCGATTTGCCGCGCAACACTATTAAAAGAGATCATTTATTAAAGATAAACATTATAAGTTTCTCTAACCAGACATATATCCATAAATTTTCTTAGCCTACATCTATATAAATGATAGTATGCATTACTTACAAACAGGGTTATACAATACATTCTTCTGTAATACACAAAATTACTGCGGTTTTCGAAGTACGAGTTCTAAGAATAATAATCGTAACCGATAGAATAGTATAGTTACTACTAAGATACGTATCTAAAGAAAATATATATGCGATTAAAGTTTACCTTCAATAAAGGTAGTTTTTAGCACACAGATCTGACTATAGTTGGCGGTAGAATTACTGAATTACAGCATTACGGCATTCTACATGTGGTAGAATGAATTCTACCACAGTACCTGATTGCCGTAAATGTTATATGCCGTAATGCCGTAATGCTGTAACCGTAATGCCGTAACCATATTGCCATAACTGTAATGCCATAACTGTAATGCCGTAATTGTAATGCCATAACCATAATGCTGTAATCATAATCAGTAACTGTAATAATGTAATTATAATGTTGTAATATCACAACATAATATCTTGCCAAAAGACCTAACCATCATACTAACTTTGTTACAGTAAATTCTCAACTTAATTGATTAATAAAAATAAAAACTTAAAAAATTTATTGAGAAACCAATTTAATAAATAACAAATATATAAAAATAAATTACAAATAAAATAAAAATTATTAAATAAAAATATTTAAATTATAATATTTTTGAACCATATATTATAGTATAAAAAAAACCTATAACAGGAAAAAAAATTTAAATAATAATTATAATAAAAAAAAAACCATAATAAATAATATAAAAAATCAATATATAAATATAAATTATATTTTAATTTTGAAATTCTTCAGCAAGTAAATATTATTTCTAAATCAACATTTAAATCTTCTTCATTTTCTAATTGTTGTTGATTTGAAAATAAATCAGTTTCAGTTTTATTATTATTATAAAAATTCAAATCTATTAATTAAATCATTAAGATTAGTTTCATCTTTTTTATCATCTAAATCAAAACTATTATCTTCATCTTCATCTTCATTTTTATTTTTATCTTTATTTTCATTCTCATCAAAAAGATTATCATCTTCAATTAAATTTCCTGTATTTTATTAACTATAGTTTCAAGTTCTTCTTTATTAAAATTTTCTCTAGAAAATTTTAATTTAGATTTTATATTTATAATATAAAATGAATAAATTTGTGTTATTAATTGAAGATGATTAATATCTAATTTACAAAAAAATTTTAAATATAAATTAATAAAATTAATAAAATTATTATTTTAAATTAAATATTATTTATATCTTATTCTTTTATTTCCTAATATCCAATTTAAAACTAAAAATATTCTTTCACAAACAACTTGATGAGAAATAATAACAAACATTTTTAATGTTAATTGTTATATATAATTATCTGATTATTTACAAGTTGTCCACCAAATTTCAGGTGTATCATGATTTTCAATATATTCCATATTATATAATTCAGTTTTTTCTAAATATTTTCTAACTTGAATTAATAAAATTTTATAACTATTTGTATTTCTATCAAAATTTATCTAAACTTTTATAGTATGTAAACAAATTTTATAAAATACTTTATCTTTATATTCTCTATCTAAAATAAAATTAAATTATATTAATAAACTATAAATTTATAAAAATTTATATATTTTTAAATTTAAAAATAAAATATAATTAATTATATCTCTAAATTTAGGATATAAAAAATAAATAAGAAGATATATTAAAATATCAAATTGTTTCCAATGTTTATTATAAATTTTGATACATTGTTTTTTAAAATTATAATCTGTTATATTAGAAATTTTTTTAATTACAATTGTCATTTTAATTAATTCTAAAAAACATAATATCATGTTGCTTGATTTATTTTTAACTATTTGAATTGTTCTTTTAGAAGGTGTAAGAATTGTTTCTAATTGTTCTAATTCTTGCCAAAATTGATGATTTCGAAGAATATATTTAATATTTAAAGCATTTTGAAAAATTTCAGACTGATTTTCAAGAACCTAAACAAAATATATAAAATTATTAAAACTTTAAAAATTTAATAAAAAAATAAAATTTAACTTATATTTTTAAGACTATTTTCTAATCTAATTATTGAATTATAACAATCCCAAACAGTAGATCACCTTATTTTTACTGAAGTTTTTAATTCTCCATCTTTTATAAAAGAATTAACAATATCTTCTTAAAGAGCAACACCAGCATGATAAGAATTTTTAAAAAATGATATTAACATTTGATATTTTTTAAAAATAACTTTAGTAAAATCTAATTTAATAATATGTGAAATAATAAGATTAATATGATAAGCTATACATCTAATAGGTAATATAGAAGGATATTTAGTAAAATAATTATTTTGCTAATTGCATAGTTGATTCTGTATCTGAAACAATAGTTACAAATTTTTTAAAACCAATTAAATTTAAAACTTTTTCAATTTCAGAAGTATTAAAAGAAGCTGTATAAGATTTGCTTAATTAATCAACTAAAATATATATATATTATTTTCTACTAAGTGTAATAATTACAAAAGCATAAATAGATTTTCTTAAAAGACTACACCATCCATCTATAGCTAATAAATTATAAATTATATTAATTTAATTAAAATTATAAATAATAAATTTAAATATATTATTACCTAATATTAAATTATTTTTATATTCAAGTTTCTTATTAATTTTAATGAAAACAAAAAAAATTTTTTGATTTAAAATAGTTAATAAAAATATTATTTTTTCAGGAAGGATATAATCAAGACAAAAACATTGAATAAAATCTATAAAATATGGATGATTAATAGTAGAAAATGGAATACTACAACATATAAAAAATCTAATTAATACTTGATTAATTCTATTTTTTTATTTTTTTTAATTTTTGTTAGTGATTCATAAAAATTTATTATTAATTTTTTAGAATTACTTTCATCTTTTTTAATTTTTTATTAGAATTATTAGTAACTAATAATTCTAAATATTTTAATTTAATATTTTGTAATATATTATTATAATATAATGCTAAATAAAATTTTAATTTATTAGATCTTTCTCTAGTCCATTTTTCAAAACAATAAGAACATTTTGCTGAATAATGTTCACCTTCTATAGATTCTTTATTAAAATGATTCCAAATACAGGATTTTTTATGACCTCTTTTACTTTTTTTAAAAATATTTTCAAATATATTTTCAAGTATAATATCAGACATTGGATATTAGTTTTAAATAATAAAATTAAATTTATAAAAGTTTATTTTTTATTATATTAAAACAAAAAGGAATTTTAAAGATTTTATTAATTCTTAATGAGAAACAATTCAAAAATATTTTTTAGAAAGACAAATATATGTCTATTTATACAAAATTGACATCTATTCTATGTATTAAAATCTTAACCTGTTTATAAAACTTATATATATAAAAAGACTTAAAAGACTTATATCCAAACTAAAAAGCTTATTATATTATAACTTATTATAAATAATAAGACTATACTAAGCAAAAAAAATATTTAATAATAAAAAGTCTCAAATAAATAAATAAAAAGCTTGAGACTTTTTTGTAAATAATTCTATTCTAAATAAATAATAACTTAATATATTATAAATTAAATTTTATTAAAACTTAATAAATAATAATTTAATTTTTTTATTTATTTATTAAATATTATTATAAAATTTAATTTATAAATTCAAAGACATAGAAGGAGATTGTAATAATTTATACATGTATAAACTCTTTTCCATAGATCAATTTGCCAAAATTGGACAAAAGAAAAAAAATTTTATATCGAATATAGAGCAATAACTACTAAATAATTCAACCTTGGACCATTAAGTAAACTTGTTCTAAACAGTAAACTTGATCTAAAAGATGTGCAAACCTTAGGAAAAAATATTTACTAGCAGCACTGAATTACAATAATATCAAAAACAGAACTGCAACAAACAATTCATAATTCAGTAAAAGTGGTCCTAAGGACCTTTACATCTTTACTAACCCAGCATATAGGCATATGATGACAGCTTCAAAAAATAACAAAAAAACTACAGATAACCTACAAATCAATCTACCACAAACTCTGAACTAAACAACCTCTCAAGACACTTTTTTTTCTTCTCCATTAGTCTATTTCATCAGAAAATCTACCAGCTCAAGTAATCCTACACCTACAACTTTAACTGTTAATCCTCCTATTGAATATGCAAAAGAATTCATCAATATTACTATAAAAGACCTAACTAAACTTACCTTTACAGTTACTTTTCTTATTTCTAGTTTCATTGACAAATATTTCTTTACTGTAGATCTTACCAAATCTGGTCATATATCTAATTTTACTTCATTCCCAACTCAATGGTTATACAAACACAAAGAACCATCCCAATCAATACTTTTTGACCTTATAATAACAAGAAACAACTCTGTAAATATTAGTACCAAACATCTCAGAAGTACATGTAGTTGTGACCTTAACTTAAAATTCAGTTATATAAAAAAACCCAAAAGGAATACAAGACACCTAAATTTAATAAAGATCTTCTATTTATACCATATAACATGATCACAAAACTTGATACAAAAGATAAACTATCACAAACAAGCAACATTTCACAAGATGATGAGCTTATATTCGATCTTACTACTAGTCCTGCAGCAAATATTACACAAATACAGTCATTAGTTACTATATTACATAATACCACTCAGGCAATATAAGATACCAATACCAAAAGAAACAAATAACTTTTTGTCTCACAACATAATTCTGCTAAAACTACTAGACTTATAACAAAATCTTCCAAAACCCAATCAACAACCAATTAACATTATAGCAAAAAATGACCCAAGCTTCAACCACTTAATACACAAACAATATCTGAACCCAGACTATCCAATGCTACAGCTATAGTATCCCCAATCTCTACAACTACAATATCTGATAACCTTTTTTTTTTTTTAATATTAACGGTGAGGCCATGCCTTCAACTTTATTAAAATTCAATTGAAGTTTTTACAAAGAAAAGCTTGCTTTTAAATTACATATGAAGAATAAAGACTCAG